TGCTGAGAGCAGAGACATCTTCCAGCTTTACACTAACGGGCTCCAACGAGATTGTCCAACTCTCCCCCGGGTGCCACTGGGTGAAGCATAGGCTGGTTGTCCCAGCTGGGTTTTGGGCTCCTCCTTGACAGCCATGAGCCAGGTGAGAGAACCTGGGAACGATCCCTTCTACCATCCGCCTATGGACGTACAACACAGCAGTGGCTGTTCTTGAAGAAGCAGCCTCAACACAGGCTTATTGCTAACAACTTTGTACAAAAGTATTTAAGCCTCTACCTCACTTATTTCCCCTACCAACTTCTCACTCATCTGAAATATACTTGAACATGAAATGTGTATGCATTAAATATATTTCAGCAGAGTCCCTCCTTCCAGATTATACACTAAACCTGAAACAAAACTAAGACGATCTATTTCTTCGTCACATGAACTGAAGATGGTGAAGTGATCACAGAACACTTACTTCAAATACAGTTAATGTTACCCTGTTTAATGATGACTTTGTTTGTTGTGGCGGAAAAAGGTGAAGACATCTTCCCAGCTACCAGGAACTACCCATCTCTTACAAAAACTTGACGGCAGGTTCTCTCAGATTCCTGGTGGGAATGCTTCTGGTAGGTACGAGAACAGAAATAAGCAGGCAGGAAACCCAGGTTCATGGGGCCAGTATTGCAGCCAGCCAGTCTAGCAGAACAGTTGACAGAAATTAAATCTAGGCCAGGAAAGGAGGGTTTACTCCAGGTTAATTGTCCCTGTTTATCCCCACCCACCCACCCACACCCCCAAGTAACAGATCATCAGTTACAAAAGGAACTTTAAAACATTGAAAAATATTTCATTTTTTCCTTAAAACACGATTCACTGGCCTTTAGAAGACTTTTATGATAAAATTTCCATTCCATGTAGTGATCTCTATGGTTCATTAGAAATAGTTTTCCACATTTCAAAGAATGATTCAATATAGTTTGGAAGTTTAGATTGGCACAGGGTCAGTCAGAATTTAACGACTGCATTTTACAGCATGTGTGTATATGTACATGTTTTTCGTGTGTATACATATACATACAGGTATCCATCTTAATGAAAGAGTTGTATAAAATTCAGTGCAGCTCACTAGTATGTGTTGCTGCTCGGGGAATGCAAATGATTATCAGTTTGTAGGAAACAATATAAACTTTTCTACATCACCCTCCCCTAGTCCCTTCACATGCACTCTGGGAACTGGATGCTCCACAGATGTGTGTTTCCACCTGTGGGTTGGAGAAAACAGACAGATCAATTCTTCAGAGTATATTAGATTAATCAAGGCAGACTATATTTTACTGTACAGAGGAATGTGACTGCTTCCTGCTTTTCTCCTGAGTGCAGAATGTTGTGGTGACTCAGACGTGAGGAGAAGAAAGCAGAAAGGTCAAAGCGCCGGTAGGAGCATCCCTCCGAGCTGCTGCCTCCTGGGAAACCTGACCAGAAGGAAATCTGGAGAACCACATCCCCCCACCCCAGCACCCTCATTTGGACAGAGACTGGGTTGCAACACATCAGACACGATGTGGCAAGACAAGGGTGACAAACAATATTAACAAAAATGCTTTGCTGTTCTACAGTGTCTGTTCTGAGAAGGTCTCAAAGCACTTCATAGACAGTGTGAATCCTCATAATGCCTCTGTGGAATAGGAAAATGTTACCATTGTAATCGCGGGTTGACCACGGGGAACTGAGGTGCTGAGGACCAGGTTGTGGATCATGACATCCATTCCTGGACCCAGTGTCCTTTCAGTGACAAACTCTCAGAATGAGGAATAAAGAAAAAAAATATATGCAAGAACACCTGTGTGTGCTGAAATGCCACTACTCTAGCTACCAACCCATTCCAGTACACAAAGCAAGCCATGGGAGCACATGGTGCCAAGGAACAAATTGTGGTCATTCAGGGCATGGTGCCTTCCCAAAGATATCTGCCGAAAATTTTCTTGGGTGGTGACAGAGTCCCTGCAGATGTTTGTCCTAGAAAGATTTTTGATGGTTTTCGTGGGACACCTCTGCTTGAAACAGCTGTTTGGGTGGAAATGACGAAGAAATGGGGCTAAGATTTCTTTGGAGGATTATTGCCCAGTTCGCAGAGGACCTATGATATTTGTCAGTCAGAATGAGAGAAGGCTCTGAGGTCAAATGGCCTGGAGCACAGCACAGAATCTGCACGGGCAATTTGAATGAAAAATTTCCATATTTGCATTGGGTCCAGCAGCTTCTTAATTCATAAGTGGAACATTTAGAGCTTGAGACATACAGATGTGGAAGTGGAAAGAGAGGAAGATTCACCTACCCATGGCCTTACATGGTCGCTTCTACTCTTCTGGCTTTGCCACCTCAACTCCTGGAGACTCTAGGGTGGACTCTTCTCCCCTACAGTGTTCATATCTCCCTGCTTGCAGAGGGGAATATCCTGGCTTTTCTTGGGCCAAGAGAGAATGGAAGAGACCCCGAACTTCAGCAGGGACTGCCTCTCCCTCAGCCATGTGTGTTTCTCTTCTCCTCACAAGAGTTACAATCCTCAATTTGTAGGAAGGTCATCAGGGGCAATATTTTCACATCAGTTGCCTTCTGTGAAGGAATATCCAGTGACTGGGCTGAGGAGCTTGGAGGTAGTCAGGGAGAGAAGCATCCATCAAGGGAAGGGGTCAGGAGATGAGGTGCGAGATTTTTCTCTCTCATCCCTCTCATGCCATGGACTGCCATTCTTATCCATAGACAGGGTTTTTTTGTTGCCCAGAATGATTTTGCCCAGGGCTGCATGGTAACACTGTCCGAACCACGGAGACTCTTATTTATTCTTTCCCAGCTCAGTTTCCGTCAAACAAAGCCCCAGTACTGCTCACAGCTGGAGTCCTTTCTGAACAGTCTCCATCAGGCAAGGTAGAAGAAAACTTATGAACTAGAACCAGCAGCCCCAGGAGAGCCCCAGGGAAAGGTTGTATGGCCACCCCACTGAGGACTACCTCTAAATTCCATGGGGGGAAGATGACATTTTCTTGCCTCCTATCCTGCACCCCAAAAAATCGTTCTGCATCATAAGTCTCCACACAACACTCAAGCTCACAAGGCCCTACAACCATTGCATGCTACAGGACTGACGTGTTGAGCTGGGAACATCATTAAGGCCAGGAGGTGGGAGGTATTTGAGGGGAGGGAGAAGGGCAGTGCTAATTTAAGTGAAGTTTAGTGAAGACTCATGTAGTGAAAGACTCAGTGCAGGAATATAGGACATGAAGAGACAAGTACTGTATGGGAAGGTGTTTACAGCCTGAAGTCGGTCATCGTTTCACCCGGACGAGGGAGCATGGCTGCCGTTCGGATTGGCAGCATGGGTGTGCGCATGTGGTGGGGCTTTGGGTGCCCCCCATGGACGGTGAGTGCTGGAGAGTGTCCAACACTAACAGTTACAGCACCGAGTCTGGCTGGCCTTGAAAACTTCTGAGACCCTTTCCTGGCCACAGAAGTATGTTCTGGTATGCGTTAGTTCGACTGAATCTGATAGGAAGACAAACACAAAGAAAAAAAACAAACACAAAAGAAAACCAAAACCTAGAAAAAGCAAAGCCCAATCTGGCTAGAAAGCCAGGATAAAACCCTCACAAATTCCAGACCCACGAGTCTACATTTTAAAGATGTTACAGATATACATTATCTAATTATCATTATATCAGATATACAACATGCCCATTGATTATAATTATGCTGGATATATAATTTATATGCATGAAATGTAACTGTCTTCATGGTTAGAACTGGTATTGAGTGGAGTTGGAATTTGGAGGGTTTTCTTGGGGGCCATTACCTAGAGAGAAAATCACGGAAAGTTACCAACCTGTTTTTCTGTAGACAGACACCCTCAGCTTTGTGCTTCTGCTAAGGGCTAGAAAAAGATTTGCTACATACGGAGTTCTAGGTTGTAACTAGGAGGAGAAAATATATTCAGAAACAGGGGAACTGGGTCAGTGGAAAACACTGTCAGGAAAATGAACTTCTGAGGAGAAATCCAGGCTCAATTAAACGTATGGCAGCCTTGCCTTGCAGGGGTCTCGGTGGAGACAGGACTTCCCCCAGCACAGCCAGCAGTGCAAAGCTGAACAAATTCTGGTGCTTTAGGGTCAGCAGTGGCAAGAAGCTGGAGGAAGAGAAACCCTATTCCTCCATCCTATTTACACGTTGGAGACACCAAGATACTAGAATGAGTGGAGAAGGGGGTCTAACAAGCATTTCAGCGTATTTGTGCTTATTGAACACATCAACCCCACTACTTCCTACACTGAGAGAGCAGGCGATTTGTAGGCACTAGTATATTTTTATCTTATGAGTATATTTAATATAAACTAAAATGTTATTTCTCAGCCAGGCTATTCTTGTCCCTAGATCTGCTAGTCCCCTAGGAAGATCTGCCCTTGAATTCTCTCCAAGGGTGACGAGGAACAGATGTATGAGTTGCTGGCTGCTATCGAGTGGTCTAGAGGTGATGTCCAGCAGCCAGAAGCTTACCTACTTGCTACAGAAAGGCCAAACATGAGGCCTGGCATGAGGACTGAGGACAGGGCCCCTTCCCACCAGGCTGGGCAGCTGCTGCATTTCCTCCTCCCCGTCTAGGGCTGCATGAGACTGCTTCTACTTGTAGCAACTGAGAAGTCCAAACTTCGTAAAAACAATGAGATAATGCAGGTGAGCCCTTGGAAGGAGCCATCTACTACTATGGCTTTCTTTGACAGAAACTGATGCACGTCAGGAAATTTCGTCTGTTATCCCTCACTATTGTCTGTTTGCTTGCTTGAGTTCTTCTGATGTCACTGATGAAGGGGTGGCTTTAAAAACAACAGCATGGATGGGACTGTCAGAGAAGTCTTTTCAGACACTGAGTTATTAGAGGTTATCTTGGCCTATAAGGCCACTGCAGTACGGAGTGCTGTGGCCACCCCAGTCCTTAACGGGTATCTACAATGCACGAGGTCATATCAAACAGTCACCTCTGTTTTGCTCGCTGTGCGGTAGTGGTGATGGTGTCCTGGAATATAATGCAGTTGCTCTACCGTGTTGTGGCGCCGGGAGGCGAACGCTTGGCGCTTGGCGGAGGTTGGGTTCATCCCTAAGGTATTGTACAAGTTATTTGAGGCACTAGGATGGGAGTGCATTTTTGTCATCCTGTAGCGATCCAAGACGGGTGTTGATACAAAGACGTCTGTGTGTGACAATGCCCGTGACATCGACTGCTCGGGGTACACCGACCGCTCCGGGGAGAGCAGCGGGTCTTGGGAGTGGAGGCGTTCTGCGGACAGAAGCTGCTCATCTGAGAGGATCCGTTCATAAGACATGCTAAACTCCTCAGGAGTGATCCTCTCAGGAGACAGCACTCTGTCCTGGGACATGGCCCTGATGGGACGGCGGGGCCTGTCCCTGTGGTTGGTCTGTTGAGACATTTTGATGACGTTGATAGGGAGCGTGCCCCGGGCTGCCAGGTCAGGCAGGTGTCTCCTCCTCATGTAGTATTCATCAGCCTCTTTGTCAGCTGTGGGAAAGGAAAGAGAAGAGTTAGAAATGTCAGAGCAGTGTCCTGCGGGGCAAAAAGGGGCTGTGTATGGCACACAGCCTTGGAGCAGCCTCCTGGTGAGACCTGATGGAACATCTGGGAGGATCCAGCAGCTGGACCTGGGCATGGACATCCGTGTCAGGGTGCTGCCTCTCAGAGAGCTGCCAGCCCTGTGCAGGTCGTGTCCCCATGTGCAGACAGAGAGAGTTATAATTACATGCAGACGGGTAAAAGTCCCTGAGCCATGCATCATATCTCCCACCACGACACAATAGATTTCATATGCTTTGAGTCCAGACTGTGGTATCACATGATTTACACAAATGATGAGTTACGGAGAATCTATCAAATGTCACCTTCACAACATGTTTGTAAGGAAAGCACAGGGAAAGTGAGCTGAACCTGGCAAGTTTTCCATTTGAGGAAATTCATATCTGATTTCTGGCCTCAGATGTGGATATGCTCTGGAATCGACAAGTGACCTCATCACATATTTTATTATTATTTTTGAATATTTGTAAATGTGGTCACGGAACAGGTTTGCTGGTCATGGGATGCTCTCTATGAGTCACTGAGTTATCTGTCTAAGGTTTCATTTTTTTGGACACCTTGGCTGATATAATGGAATTTATTCCATGGAACATTTCTTATTCAATTTGCTTCTTTTGTGTCTTAAATGACCTCTTTGTTGCTCAGAAACTTCGAGCTCACATACATACGCTCTTTCTTTTTTGGCTTTCAAACATGTTCCTTGAGCTCAGAGAAGACAAAACCTACTGCAGATGTATCCTGATACACCCCTTTAAACCTGCAGTATCTCGAATGACCTGACAACAAACGCATAATTTGAAGAAGAAACTCTATATCTATTTCAGACATTTTTTAAAAAACCACAAACAACAGAAACACAAAAAACTTTCTCCTAAATGCATCTGATATTCATATGCCTTAAATCAGAGTCCTGGAACTACCTACCTGAAAGAAGGATTAGCAGTTCTTGGGCTTCAAGCCCAGTGCAACATCAGAGTGGGATCAGTCCCTTACCAGAAATACACTGTCATAATCATCATCCCCATGGATCAAGGGATGGAGGCATGTTTAATGTTCAACACTGATCATCTGTGTGAGCCCTCCTCCTCATTTCTTTGGCTGAGATGTTTTCTTACTCCACCCAAAACCATCTCCCATCCTTCCAGCTCATCAGCGACTTCAGAAAACCCCAGAGTGAGACCAATCTGAAACACCTGGCAGGCAGCCATCCTCTCCTTGGAGAAGACAACACAACACCCACTGGTGCACAGGAAGGGGATTCCTCATGCAAATGTAAAGCAAATTTCTCCACCTTACAGAAAGAAAGTTTCTTTTAAAATAACCTTGTGGAACTAGCCTGGCATATGGACTGCAAAATTGGGATCATACACACAGGACCCATCAAGTCTTGACCCAAGTGTTGATGGGCAAAGACATCATCTCCTATATGTCCTGGTCAGCTTCTGGGACCTGATAAGAAATTCTTTTGGAAAGTCTTTTGTTTATAAGACATGTATGATAAAGATATATGATTTTCTGAGCTAAAATATTTCATTTTTCCCTCATGTAGAAGGTGATGCGAGTTGGGACAGTATCAGACAGTGGAAGAGGAAAATTTCACATGCATGCAGTTTCTGAGGATGCTGGAGTGGTAAAAAGGCAAAGTTCTGCTGCAGGACAATCTGGGCAATCATAAGCGAATGAGGTAGATGGTCCCACTTCTGATGCTTAGAGTCTCTGTAGGCTTGCAACAGATCTCGTAGGCTAAATATGGTGTGGAAATTTCCTGTGTCCTCTGACACAGCCATAAATCTATGGTAGGTTTTACAAACCACATTGGCTGAGAAATGAAGACAATTGGCTGACTGTCCCATGAGGCAGAGTGCTTTCAGAGAAAATGTCATGATACGTGATTGGTGCTGACAACATCCCAGAAGTTTGTTCACCAGACGACAGCTACAAGATTGGTGCCTTAAGGTCTTCAGCCAAACCCTGGGGTGCTGGATGATCTCACTCACTAATTTCCTCATCTCTCCCTTGCATTGTGTGTTCTCTTCAATGCAGTCTGAACCCAGCTCCTTGTGGTCCTCATAACCCAGAGGATCTGCGAGGAGAGTTGTTCATCCCCCACCTCAGCATCCAAAAGTACAACTGAGAACAAGTGTGTTGAAATGCACGGCCTGTTGGCACCCCTGTTGCTGCCAGCTTATTCTTTGCAGCCCACACAGCACCAAAGTGTGAGGATTACCCAGAGTTCTCCTGTTCTGGCATGCTTGCTGCTGGTAGGATTTGCTCTCCAGAGTATACATTGTAGGATTGAGCCCTTTTTTCTTCAATCAAAAACTTCTTGGAATACTATCTCATCAAAAATACTAGACACATCTTGGTGGGGTTGGACTAGATGATCTCCAGAGGTCCCTTCCAGCCCCGAACATGCTATGATCCACAACCTATCTTTAAAATCACCTTCTAGGAAGCCTCAGAAGGGTTGGGGAAATTCCGTATGGCCACAGCAATTTTAAACATTTTGATTTTATAATGGGGCCATAGATAGACTTGCACACATTTGTGTGCATCATGATGCTTGAGGCTGGGTGCAGAACTGGAGCACTCAGCACTCGCCACTCCAGCCCTTGACCTCTGCTCTGGGTCAGAGAGGTTCTGCTGAATTTGACCAAGTGACTCTAAACAAATGTAATTAAAGCAGAGAACATCCCAAATGGAGATTTGCTTGGATGCTCACACTTGGCTGTGGTAACTGCCGTCAGGAGCTAAACCAGATTGTGCGAGGTTGGTGGTCTGAGTCTGCTGGTGGTGTGGCAGAGTCAGCTGATTAAGTGGTGTGAAGTTATTCCTTCCTAATTTAGATTTTAAAAAAAGGCAGCATGCTCTACACTTTAAAAAGTTTTGTCGATTAGGAGCATTAAAATATCCTTTCCATCCCTCTAAACAGCATAGAAGTCTGCATGGTCTTTTGCTGGCAGCGACTTAAACCATTCAGGGAACTCGTTTCATTTCAAACCTCATACAGCCTGTCTCCTCCCGTGATGCTGAGAAACACTTGCAGATGTTGGCACAGCTATCCCAGGAACATTTTCAGGTGTAGGCAAACTTCGCATCTCATCTCAAAGGAATCCAAACCGAAACAGCACTTTCCCAGGAGCCACAAGCTGGCTGAAGCAGACACCAGACAGACATTTAACAGGCTGTTGCCTCTGAAAAGTGGTGTCAGCTCACAAGCTTTGCTGAACCACTCATGGAGAACACAGCCTGAGGAGAAGCTGAGCGTGCTGTGTCACACGTGTGCCTTTGTGCCCAGGGAGAAGCTCAGCACAGCTCTATCCACAGTGTTTCTGCACCCAGGGAAAGCAAGGACACCAATAGAGCACCAGGCTTTTGAGATTGGAAGCACCAGGTGCTTCAGCCAGTGAGTGGGACCAAGAAGTCGGGACATTCAGTCACATAATTTGCTAAAATCAAAATGTCTCCAGGACTTGAAACCACCCAATCTGATTCATGTAGTCTTCATCACACCAGAAAGTCCACTAGGACAGTGAGGCTCTGATAGCGCTACCCCTTATCTTCTCATTGATACTCACTTCGGAACAGACATTTGTAATTTCAGTTGAAATAAACCTACAATCAAATGTGTTTCTCCCTCATGGACGTGCTTGAAAATTCAAAAAAGTGTCCTAAGTGGATTTCAAAAGGCCAGAAATGATGAACAGAAAGAAATAAATCACTGTTCTATTGATTAACAGAAATTTCTCTTTCTGTAAGTCAATCTCATACTTCTGGGTTTTCAGTCATGTTTTTCAAATGTTTGAAAGGGGAATTATGGGAAATCACATTTTCTGCTCAATTTCTCGGCTTTTTTTCATTGTTTTGGGGGGTGGAGTAAGGGCTGTATACACTTTCTTTCCTTCTTTGGCAGTTTCTAGAACATTGACCAGGACTGGCCTCACCAAACTTCAGGATTGTTTGAGCACTTTGTCTGACCTGACTTTAGGATAAGCTGATTTGCCCTCATACAATTTTTCTGCTTTTTGCTTTTTTTCTTCTCCCATTTGGAGGGAGAGTCCCAAATGAGTGCTCTTAATCACACATACCTCCTCAAGTCTAAGATGCCATCGCTGATGCTCTAATTAGAGAAGCAAGGTCCCTTCATGGTGTTCCGGGAAGAGAATGCGGCAAAGCCAAGGATATTTTTCTTTCCATGGCTCTATGTCAAAGTATTTAAAATACTTGCATACAAGTATGTATGTAAGGCCATCATAGTAGTTTCTTTGCTTTTCTTAAGGGTAATTTCTTTGCTTTTCTGTCTCTGCAGTTCTAGTGTTTTTCCTCTTTGGGCTTGTCTCTCCTGTTTTAATTGGCTTTAACATTTTCAAGCTGCCTAGTCATTTTTGATGTTTGCTTAGCCAGTATCAAGTGGTTTAACATGCCTGAAAATATTAGTTTCCTTCCTGACTGACCTTTCTTACTTAGCTGGAAACAGCAATTCCCTGGAGCACTAGGCAGGACAGAATTAATACAGCTGCTCTTCCTCAGCTGTGTGTTCCCACACCCACCCAGCCACACACACCAGCCTGCCAGGGCTGCCAGGGCAAAGCTGGCCCAGGGCTTCCCATGGAGGTAGTTCTCTGCCCCCCACATATCCTGCTACCTGGATTCACAAATAGAAACCCAAGATGAGTTTTCTGTTTTCTGTGCCTTGACGTAAGATCTGAGAAGGCAAATGGAAGCAGAAAGCTCAATGCTTGCATGGGACCTGGTTCTATGCAGTCAACAACTTGTTTCCTGCTGTTCCTAAAAGTCCTGGATTATCCTCACGTCCTTTCCCTGGAAGGAGAAGAAAATGTGGTGCCAGCAGAGGTGAGTGCATGCCCTGCAAATCCAGCGGTGAGGACCTCCCCACGCTGGGCACATCCCCAGGGATTCGCAGGTGCAGGCAGCAGGTATCACTCATCTCTTCCTTGCTGCAGAACAGTAGACGAGTCCCCTAATGTGAGATGTGTTTTGTTAAGCTTTAGGCATCAAAAACTAGGCTTGTTATCCAGCAAAGAGCTCGGCGGCTTACCAGAGCAACTCTGGTGTCAGTAAGAGACTGGGACCTTCCGAGGGCTCTGATGGAGATATTTGTCCTTCATTGGTTATAGAGTTTCTTGCATCAAACAGACAAATAAGAAGCCTGATTGCTGGATGGCTGAAGTAAGGTGAGGTGGATCTGATCATATCCTTGCTGAGTTCTGTCTCCTCATCTTTGGTGATGAGATGCTAAATATTATTTCTTCCTGGATATGCCTTGATTATTCAGTTTAGATGTTCTTGGGCAGAAACTGTTTTTCGCTCTCTGTCTCTGCCAACTGTGAGAAAATAAGTGACCTTTAGCTGTCTGGTGAGTCTGAAGAAACCCAGACAAATTGCTGAAAGACAAATTTAAAAAGTATCTAATGTTTTTTGTTTTACTTGAATAGAAGTATTCTGTTTGTTAATGAGCTCTTCAAAACATTGATTTTTAAAGAAATGTCAGGGAGTTCATTAGAAACAACTAATTTTGAATATGAAAAAATAAAACCCCAATAATTCACTTGCAAAGCCCAGCATTTAGGTATTACTTTTGGGGGGATTTTCGGTTGCCTTTAGCTCCTTTATATGGAATAGGAAAATGATATTTCTGGCATTTTCCAAGGGAAGGTCTAGGAGCTGGGAGCCCATTTTCCTTTGGCTCTAGAGAAGACCAGCTATAAGATAGCGATTCAGTGATTCTAGAATTGTTAGCTATATGCAAGCCCAGCGGGATCAAGGAGTGCTTAGTGCTTTTAGAGCTGGAATGGCTTATTTACTTACTCAGACATACAGCGTGAGGCAGCTGATTTGACATTTGCCAGGTGCTTTGCAAGGAAGTGGGTTGGTTATTTCTAAAGAAGGCTGAGCTACACCTAGACCTGCCACTGATGGGTAAATAGCTGCGATTTCCATTGCAGTGTGCAGGGGTTCCCTTCTGTGGTTGATGCTGTTGAAAAAAGAGGGTGAATGAACCCCACGCTAGCCAATGACCAAAAACTAACTAACTCTTAACATTCTTAGGTTCGTGTTGACTACCATGTGTCCCCTGAGTAGTGACAGGAGCACTAACTGTGCACATGGCACACTGAACAGGTAAGATAGCAGACTCCAATCACAAAGCACCTTATGTCTGTTCTCCAACACCGTTAAGCACATGTTTACTTTCAAGCACACCCAAGGTATTTGCCTTAAACACATACATAAATCCCAGGATGAGCTACCAAGAAGTGGGCTGAGATTTCTATGTGCTACATTTCCATTCCATTTTCTCTTCTGAAAATTATTCTACAGAGATTTCTTATGGACAGTCCAGGGTCTTCTCTACCACTTAATTTTTTGTGTCTCACTTAGGTGGCTAAATCAGGAATGCAGATTTTTAGATAGACTATAGGATTTGCTCTTAACCTTTCACCTTCACCGTCGGTGAAGCTATCAAAATAACCCAAGTTATTTCCCTAAATTAAGCAGTGTGAATACATTGCTGCATCCATAAAATGCTCATGGAAATATCCATAATACAAAGCTAGTGCCAGCCTAGAGAGAGCATTTGCCTGCACAAATATCACTTATCCTATAATCTCACCAAAGCTGAACTGCTTGCCATCAGCAAAGGTGATGGGCTGGAACGTTATAGGAAAGTTGGCAAAATGATGCAATACATAAACCAGTAAAAAAGAACAGATACTCACTAGAGTGAGCAGGATAGTGAGGATCATGCTGAAATATCAGAGATGTACCATGAATCAGTGTATGGCACAGGTCAGGACCAGATCCAGACACATACACCATGAAACACAATGGATCGCAGTGCTGCTCAAGGCAGGCAGATGTGCTCCTACTGAAATAGGATCTCCCAACCATTCCAGCAGCTTTCCAGCCTGGGTTAGTCATCTGGCTCCAGGTGCCCCCATGGACGGTGAGATATCTGCCCTGCGTACGCCAAGGTAAGCTCAGCTGATCTGAGACAGCCAGCTTGGCTCGCCTAGATCCTGGCAGAAAGGAAAAGGTTTCTCAGAGGACTCTCTAAGAAGCAGATACAAAGTGGAGTAGTGGGAGGCAGCACAGCAAGGAGGTCAGAAAGCAAATAACCACATCTGCTCCCACAGTAATGAAGTGACTCTTTCTCTATACTCTTCCTTGATAGGAAGCGACAGCCAAAAGAATCGTTACCGGAGATACCAGCTTGGGCAGTACAACGACAGCAGGAAGAAGGTTATTGCCTTAACATTGTGCCCACTGCGGCTTACGAACAAATGAGATACAAAGGAAATGAAATGAGCTGACACCTACTTAGCCTCTTCAGAGAAGAATATTTACTTGGGTTTGTCTTGACGGCAGACTCATAGGATGGTGGGAGGTGAGAGAGGTTCTGGAAGGACCGGGAGAAGGACAGATCATAGGGTTCGGTGGCAGAAGTAAGGATGTTGTTCATTCGTGGCTTGTCTGCAAAAAAAGAAAAAAACAGAGAAAGGCATGTCTACAGTGTGCTCCAAACTAAGCTGAGAGAGGCAAACTATTCCCGCAAACTCTGGCAGGGAGAAGATCTGTATGTAAGCCAACCTCAGTGACAGGCTGTTGGACGTAATTCAAACTAGCACTGGCAGATCAGTGAAAAATGGATCCTGTGGTGTTGTTTCCCTGTCCACAGTGATTATGGAGAGCAGTAAACTGCTGTCTCGGAAGTGCCTGGACCAAGCAGCTCTCCTCACAGTGGGACGGCAGGTCTGGTGGGCTGTCAGTCACCTCACTTACCAGGGAGAGCTGTGGTGTGGTGCTGGTGTCTGATCCCACCACAGCATCACCTACCTTCATCCCAGCAAGCTGTGCCTTCTCCACCCTCAGCGACACAGGAATGAGCCTGTGGGGTTATTCTAACTGGGGCTGATAATCAAATTGCTCTCATCATGCCAGATTTCTGATTAACACTCTGAACCTGGAAACTCCTGGGCAAATCTAGTCCTTTGCCCTTTGCCCCATGGGTTCTGGTGGGCTCTAGAGACATCCATGCTCCCCCTGCGCACAGGGAAGTGTGAAGTGGAGCTGCGGGGTGCACATTTGGGTGCAGTCAGAAGACAAGGCAAGGTTTGGAGTGGTTCCTGAGGCAGGAAAGGAGGTGCCGTCCTTGAGGGTTGGAAGATGCTACTATACTGATTTTCCATGTTGTTGGTCACTGAGGGCGTCTCCAGCCAGTGTCAAAATGCCCACTGTCAGGATGCTAATGTTGAGGGCACTGTCGGTAAAGATTAACACTGAGCTTAGATGTTAAAATTCTAGGCCAGACAACCTGCAGAGTTTTGAAATCATGGTCCTTTGCTGCAAGCTGAATGGAAAATGGTATTTCATCAGCTCATCCAAGGGACAGGGATCTGTTGGATTTTTTTTTATAAGTCCCATGAGGTCAGATATTAAAACAGGCAGACACAAGAGGATTAAAAATAGCAGGAGCTTCAATGATTAGAAGCAAAGCTACAATAGACTATGGTGGGCTCTGTGGGAGCTTGCAGCAGTGATGTCACCCATGGTAGACACTTGAATTACAACCATCATGTCAACAAACTCAGCACCTGCTCCTTCCTGCTCCAGTCATCACAGATTCCATGCACTCTGCTCCTTTGTGAGGTTCCTCACCACAAAGCTTCCTGCAGAACAAATCACAACACTGCACTTTTTCCCAGTTGTGTCCAGAGTATGACAATTAAGAGCTTCCCCTGTCCTTCAGCACCAGTCTGCTAACAGCATAGGACACTCCGTCTTGAGTGATCCCCCACTGCTGCCAGCACAGCAAGGTCAGGGGGAAGGAAGCTGCTCCATCAGGAACAGGGGCTTCCCATGTCTCAACAAACACCTGCACTGTGTCCTCTGGGTTCAACAACCAACAGCCAATGTCAACCACCTCACAGAAAAGGAACAGCCCAGATCTCTGCCGGAGCATTGTTTTGTTCCCAGTTCTGAGAAATTATGAGGCACTTTCTTACAGAATTCAGCAGTGGTGAGAATTTCCTCCTAACAATGCAATAACAATCTTAGTTAATAAACTCTTCTTTCTTATTGCTTATGTATGTCTCTGCGCTTCTGGAATAAGGTTATTGTCTGGCAAAAAGAACATAGCCCCAAGTGAGCATATAGCTAATGTGTCATCTCTCTGAGAACATTATTTTCTTGCTGATGGCTTCAATCCATGTCTAATAGACTGACTGCAGGATTAGGAAGTGCATCTTATTCATCAGGGCACTGGAAACAATTGATTAGATATTATCCAGTAAACAGAGACTATATCAGCGTTGAAACTCTGTCCCCACTCCTATTCATGCTTGTGTGGCAAGGACCCTGGGGTAGCATCTTTTCAAATTTCTCAGCCAGAACCTGTATCTAATCTCTACTTTGCATGGAAATTTGGACATACTGATATAAGCCCAGGCATATGTATGAAGTTTGTGTTCAATGCCAAAGCAAGAGCATTAATTGACTGCTTGCATGAGGTGTGTGAAATTAAGTGCCACACATTTATCCGATGGGCTTGTGCAGAATCAGTATGTCTTCTTATTGTTTTTTCCATCCAGTCAGTCAGGAGCAGACCGTAATGATTTTAGCAAATGAGAAGTCACCTTGAAATCCACTACCTCTCACTCTGCAAAATAAGGGATAAACTGAAATGACCGAAGATAATTTCAGATGTCTTTTTGCATAATGTAGTTTGAGGGCAAGATCAGAGAACTGAGACACTCTAGTAAGAAGAAATTTCATGTGCAATTTATATTCTAAGATCAGTTCGGCAGAAGTTTCTCAGCAGTTCTTCACTCCTGTATTATATCTGAGTCATGTTTTTCTCTGGTCTTTCTCTTTTTTGTTTGTGGTGTTTGTTGGCTCCTGTGGAAGATGCAGGACATAATAAACCAGGAGAATGTACATAAAAAGGTCTTCCCTTTCACTGCAAGGCAGCTGAGGTTGTACGCTGCTCTATTTCCCAGCATTCCCATTCATCCCAGTCCAGCTCTACCTTCTGAGCAGTGAAAGAGGACTGCTGGAAAATGGACAACGTCCCGTGGTTACTGGGATAACCTTTGAGAGCCATTATTAGTCCACATTTTCCTCAGCAGCATCCTGCAGCCGCGTGTCATTTTGTGTCTCTCTGAGACATGGTGCTTGGTGAGCACAACTTGCAAAGCTGGTTGCAGAAGAACATGGAGGAAACAAAGGTCACCCTGTGTGTAGCAGGAGATGGGAACATCACCCAGCAGTGTCATTTCTCTTGGTTTCTAAATTCTCTTTGCTATAGCCTTGAAGCAACCACACCTTTTTACAGCCAATGCAATATCTTAAAATTCTGCCAGTGTCTCTCTGATT